TTTCATTTCATTTTTGACAACTTGCAATTTTCCTAGATTTATATTTCATACATTCCATGTTCCAAATATCAGTGGATGTTTGCGGCTGTTTCTTCTCATTTTGATTTATGCCCCATCAACAAATGGAGGTCCCAAAAGCTTTATGCCATCCACATCATTAAGGTTGACTCTATTCTGAGGAGGCAGCTCTTCCCCAGTCATATTATGAGTGCCTTCCAACCTAAGGGGTTCATCTTCCGGTACCAGACAATGTTTCAGGGCTATTCATAAAGTTTTCCAGTAATGTATCAGACAGTGTTTCACTTCTATTCATAAGGTTTTCACTGGTAAATTCTTTGAGAAGTGGGTGGCCCTTTCCTTCTTCTGAGTCTGTCTTAGTCTGGAAGCTCCACTGAAACCTGTCCACCATGGGTGACCCTGCTGGTATTTGAAATACCGAGTGACATAGCCTTCAGCCTCACAGCAACACGCAAGTCACCACAGTACAACAAACTGACAGATGAGTTGTGGTTTTTGGCTATTGATTTATAAATTAACTGCAGTGTGGTCAGAGAACATGCTTTGTATCAATCCTTTGTATCAATCAATTCTTTAAAATGTTTGAGAGGTACTTTATGATTCAGTATAGAGTGAATTTTTAATCAGTGTTCTGGGTACACTTTGAATGAATGCATATTCAGTGGTGGAGGGTGCAGCTTGCTTGCTCACCCCCTCCCTCATCGAGTGGGACACATTTAAATCATGTTGTTTCAAGTTTCTATATGACTTTTTCCATCTTTTTGCTTTGAACTTTTTTCTGTACTTAGGCTTCAGAAGTAACTCTATGCTGTCATTGCACAGAAGCAAGAACCACCTGGCTTCGTGCCTGCTCTCTTGTCCTTGTGGAACTGCCCATGCCAGGGCCAGTGGACATTTATGTTTCTATTCTCCACATGGCAAGCATATAGAGTCAAGACCATTTCTGCTTTCTAGGGTCAAGTTTCTTAGACTGGGACTAACTGGGTAAGTGTGGAGTAGTGTAGGGTTCAACATCTAGGTTCTCCAAAAAAATAATTATAGGTGAAGAAAAAGAATGAGCAGAATTAATTATTTTGCAGTGATTAGCTGAGAAGTTTATTTATAAAGGAAGGATCTCTGCTTTTGGTTCACAGAAAGTTGAAAATTACTAACCAATGGCATTATTGTTAATACCAGCAAAAGTCCTTCCTAGGCCAGTGTGGCATGTTGGGAGAGTGCTATCACCACAGCCTTGCAGTATCTCCAGTAACACAGCCACCTGAAAGGACACTGCTTAAAGCTGGGATCCTTCATTCTACCTCCAGTTTTGGCTGGGTCTCTTTACACAAATCAGTTATCATCTCTGGTTCTCAGCTTCCTACCAGAAACTGAAAGATTAAATTCACTTATTACTAAGACCTCTATATCTAAGGATCTAGTACTCTATGAAGGAGCTCTCGTGGTGTAGTGGGGGTAAGGCATTTGGCTGATAACCAAAAGGTCAGTGGTTTGAACCCACCAACTGCTCCATGAAGAAAGATGGGGCAGTCTGCTTCTGTAAAAATTTACAGCTTTGCAAACCCAGTGCGGGTCACCATGAATCAGAAACTACTTGATGGCAGAGAGTTTGGTTTTTTGTATATGTGCTACATATATACGACACAGCCAGCTACTCAGAGGGAGCAAGTAGTTGAACCTATGGGCTCGGAACCATAGTTGCAGGGGACATCAAGCTCAATTGGCATATATACAAAACTCGTGGCAAGCACGAGTTTGATTTTTTGAGAACTGTATGGCTACTCTCCTCATGCTTCTATTATGAGGAGAATATAGAATGTTAAGGAGCTCTGGTAGCATAGTGCCTAAGGCACTTGACTGCTCACCAGAAGGCTGGCGGTTCAAACCCACCAGCCACTCCTTGGAAGGAAGGTTGGGCAATCCTACTTCCGTAGTGATACTGCCTCGGAAACCCAAGGAGGGGTCGCTAGGAGTCGGGGCTGACTCGACGGCAAACAACAACAACAACAACAACAACAACAATAGAATGTTAAGATGGAACATATGCAAAATGCTCATAATATCAGACAAAGGATTAAGGGAAAGGATGCCAGTTGAGCTGGGTTTTGACACTGTACACAACTGATTTTAGTGAAATGGTTTTATCATCTATCGATGGGATCATGATTACTGGTTGGTAAGATGAATAAATGAAGTAACAGTGCCTGGTACACAGTAAGTACTCAATAAAGCCTCATTTACTTATTATTGTAATACAAATCAAGAGGCATGGTTTAATTAACTATCCCTGATGGACAGAGAGAGAGAGGGAGAAAGAGAGAGAAGGTGCACATTTGTTTTGTATAGGCTGCTGTGGTAGAATCTGAAACAAGTTGGGCCCCTTTGTTTACATACATAAATTTGTTCAACATTTGGAAACATGGGCAAGATAGAGAAAGCAGAACAGAGAAGCACCCTCACCAGCCCTCACTCAAACCACCTGGGGACTGTTCATCCCTAAGTCCCTGGAGCAGGTGTATAACCCAAGACCACATGTATCTTTAGTTTCCCCTTTAATACAGTGATTCTCAGCTTGGAGAGCATCAAGCATACTGATGTCAGGGTTGCAGCCCAAGAGATTCTGTTTCAATTGGTTTGCGTTGCAGCCTAGTCAAAGAAGGTTTAAAACTTTCAGTGATTTTAAATCATTTGTAGTAATTCACTGCTTAAAACCCACTCAGCAAGAAGCAGCCACCTGAGCTAAACCTCCCCATGGAAGAGCCAGCCCAGCTCAGGCAGAGTCACTCTTGGAGTCCATTTTCACCTGCAGTACTTGAGAGGAGTCCCCGAGAACTCGCTGCCATCAGACTCTGGTTCTGATCGGTTTTCAAAGTCAGAAATTCGAAACACAGACAAGCTGGCATTCACATAGCCAACCATGCACCTAAAAGAGAAGAATTCTGTAATTAGAACATGGATCACCTTCTCTGCATCCAATTGTTAACCCCTGCTTCTAAGAAGCCCCTGCAGTTGTGCCGTTAGCTGGCCAGCTGAATTGTCACAGGCACTAAAGTTGGGATAGACTGAAAAGCCCTGAGTATGCTGAATTAGGAACAAGTCATGTCTTTAGTTCCAGTCTTTTTTGTATAGAATCATCATAAAGAACATCACTATCCTAGTTAATGCTTCAGTGAAAGAGGTGAGAGTCACATTCATGCATTGGCATAAAGCATATGTAAGTCACTGCTTCCTTCATTAGTAATGTACATATACATATATATATATATATATATATATATATATTCATATCAATGTATATATATGTTATATGTATACATAATATATATGTACGTGTGTGTATACATATGTTTGGAGGAGTCCTGGTGGTATGGATGTTAAGCACTTGGCTGCCAATCAAAAGGTCAGAAATTCAAACCCACTAGCAGCTCTGCAGTAGAAAGATATGGCAGTCTGCTTCCATAAACATTACAGCCTTGGAAACCCTATGGGGCAGTTCTACTCTGACCTACAGGGAAGCTATGAGTCAGAGTCAACTCAACAGTACACAACAACAACATGTACGTACTGTTGAGAAAGAGAGGAAAAAAAGACAAAGGGAGAGACAGAGAGGGAGACGGAGAGGGAGAGGGAGAGGGTGAGAGAGAAAGAGAGGGAGAGAGAGAGAGAGAGAACTAGAGTTCTTGTTGTTAGGTGCCATTGAATTAGTTCTGACTCAAAGCAACCCTCACAACTGGACCAATAAGTAGCATCACGATAAATGGAGAAAAGACTGAAGTTGTCAAGGATTTCATATTACTTGATTCTACAATCAACACCAATGGAAGCAGCAGTCAAGGTATCAGATGACATATTGCATTGGGCAAATCTGCTGCAAAAGACCTCTTTCAGGTGCTGAAGAGCAGAGATGTCTCCTTGAAGACTGAAGTATTTTCAATCGCTTCTTATGCATGTGAGAGCTGGACAATGAATAAGGAAGAGCAAAGAAGAGTTGATGCTCTTGAGTTGTGGTGCTGGCGAAGAATACTGAGAGTACCATGGACTGCTAAAAGAACTAACCAATCTACCATGGAAGAAGCACAGCCAGAATGCTCCTTGGAAGCAAGAATGGCCAAATGTCGTCTCACCTACCTTGGTCATATTATCAGAAGGAACCATTCACTGGAGAAGGATATCGTGCTTGGTAAAGTGGAGGGTAAATGAAAAAGGGGAAGGCCCTCAACAAGATAGATTGACACAGTGGCTACACTGGCTCAGGTATAGCAAAGATCATGAGACTGCACAGGACCGCGGAGTGTTCCATTCTGTTGTGCATGAGGTCACTATGAGTTGGAGATGACTCATGGGCACCTAACAAACAACAACAACAAAGCAACCCTATGTACAACAGAATGAAACATTGCCCAGCCCTGAGCCATCCTCACAACTGTTTTGCTACGTTTGAGCCCACCACTGTTGCAGCCACTGTGCCAATCTATCTCTTCAAAGGTCTGCCTCTTTTCCATTGACCTTCTACCAAGCATGACGTCCTTCTTCAGGGATTGGTGCCTCCTGATAACATGTCCAAAGCATGTGAGATGAAGTCTCACCATTCTTACTTCTAAGGAGCACTCTGGCTGTACTTCTCCCAAGACAGATCTATTTGTTCTTCTGGCAGTCCACTCCATATTCAGTATTCTTTGCCAACACCATAATCCAAAGGCATCAATAATTCTTCATTCTTCCTTATTTACTGTCCAGCTTTCACATGCATATGAGGCAAATAAAAATACCGTGGCTTGGGTCAGACACACCTTAGTCCTCAAAGTGATTTCTTTTTAACACTTTAAATCTTTTGCAGATTTTCCCAAAGGAGTATGTCATTTGATTTCCTGACTGATGCTTCCATAGAATCTGTAACTACGGATTCAAGTAAAATGAAATCCTTGTGACCTGGAGGAGGCATCTGACCTCTTCTAATTTCACAAGGCAGGGAAGAGGATCAAGATCAAGTTCAAAATCAACAGCCCAAAACTGATTCCTATGCAGCCTAGGTCAGATTTTTTTTTTTTAAACCAATTTTGACAACCATCCCTCTCGTGGCACTTTCTACTTCTCTGCTGGATTTGATAATTTGTTTTAATGGCCACATAGAACTCACAGACACTACTCATGATTATGGAGTTTATTAGAGGAGTAACAGACTCAGAAATGACTTAGGATACAGTTCTTTGATCAGGACAAACTCTTCTCAGCAGTGTCAATAGGCACACCTCTCTCTGGCTCTTGGCCCCTTGGCCCCTTTGCCTGTGTCCTGATGAGGCAAGTGTTACAAAGCTCTTTTAGCTCTGCTAATAAATGCCCAGAGGAGCTCTGGTAGCATAGTGGCTAAGGCACTTGACTGCTAACCAGAAGGCTGGCGGTTCAAATCCACCAGCCACTCCTCGGAAGGAAGATGGGGCAATCTACTTCTGTAGTGATACTGCCTCGGAAACCCAAGGAGGGGTCGCTATGAGTCGGTCCCACTCGACGGCACATAACAACAACAACAACAACAATAAATGCCCAGATGCATCCCACTCCACCAGCAAGCCTCCTGCCTGAAAGCACTCAGCTTTCTTGCTCTGTGGGCTGGGAAGCCCACTGTACTGTCTCCTGCTGGGTCTGCTGCCACCATGTCTCTGGTGCTGCCTCTAGCATCTCTAACCATCTCAGCAAAGTATTATAGCTCTCTGTGTCCATCTCCTGGGTCAAGGAGGTTCAGCGCAGGGATCTCAGGTCCTCGCACTCTACTCTTTCTTGATGGTACTGAGATTCTTTCCTGTCTCTGGGAAGGCTCATTTTAAGCTTAGCGGGATGGTAAAAATGACCAGTTCCCACATCAGAATTCCATACACCTTGTTTGCATGGTTCCATCCCAACAAGAGTGCCATGCAACTTATTTATATTATTAGCAAGCAATGCAATACCCTTTGTGGACCACAAGCATCTCAAATTTGAATAGTCCCACCCTCTCATTTGGTGAGAGTTTTAAAGACTATAGCTAGAAGGGCCATATTAAGTAATTCACTGTACTGCACTTGACAACTTCTATCTTTTCTGTTTATCATGCTGCTGCTTATGGGTCCAGTTGTAAGGATATTTGTTTTCTTTGTGTTGAAGTGTAATCCATACTGAAGGCTTAGTCTGTGATCTTCATCAGTAAGTGCTTCAAGTTCTCCTCATTTTCAGCAAGCAAGGTCATGTCATTTGCATATCACAGGTTGTTAATGAGTCTTCCTTCAATCCCGATGCCACATTCTTCTTCATATAGTCTAGATCCTTGGATAATTTCCTTGGCATATAGATTAAGTATGGTGAAAGGATACAACCCTGACACACAGTTTTCCTGATTTTAATCCATGCAGTACCCCCCTGTTCTGTTGGAATGACTACCTCTTGGTATACTTCTTGGTTCCTCATTAACACAATTAAGTGTTCTGGAAGTCCTATTCTTTGCAACGTTATCTACAATTGTTACAATCCACACAGTCAAGCATCTTTGCATGCACAATAAAATACAGGTAAACATCTTTCTGGTATTTTCTGTTTTTAGACAAGATCCATCTGATATGAGCAATGAATCCTTGGGTGGTACAAATGGTAAATACACTCAGCTGCTAACACAAAGGTTGGAAGTTCAAGTCTACTCTGACACACATGGGATCATCATGCACTGGAGTCAACTGAATGGCAGCTGATTTGGTGTATGTACAAATTGTCATAATAGCCTGAATATGACTGGTGTGAATGTTCTCACTCACATTCTATGCTTCAGTCATGTTAAACTATTTGTCCTAACTGTATTATATGGTTTCAAGCATCTGCTGGGAATTCCTTCATTCCTTCCTTTACGTGTGGGAGTAACACTCATCTTCCAATGGCCAATCAAATGCCACACTCTGGGAAGTCTTCTGGATCCTCCCAGTGAGAATGACTCATTCCCTTCTTTCTGTGGTCTTATTGCACTTAGTTCACAATTACCACACAATTTGCATTAGTGTTGGCTGCATACATATGTGTCTTCTCCTTTGGAGTGTAGTTCTTTGGGGCAGAGCAGGTACCATAGGTATTTTTGTGTCCTAGAATTCTAGGACAGTCTCCCACAGTATAGAAGTTCAGTAAATACTGGATTGATTTGAAAGTATCACGTTCTGTCAAGGTCTTGAGAATGGATCAGGAATAAAACTATTGCCCTGGATTCCTCAGGAATAAGAAATTTCATGAATACATGATTTTCATTCTATACTGGGAGGCAATATAGTGCAATATTAAAAGCTTGGGCTCTGGGGGCAGGGCCTCTGCTGCTTTCTGGCCACATCATCTTGGCCTAACTTTTCTTTATTACAAGAAGTTTGTCTATGTCATAGGGTCATGTGGGGATTCAATGACATGACATCTCTAAAGCATGTAGTACTTACCCCAGAGCAAGATCTTAATACATGCAAGGGGCTATTATTATTATTTATTTCTTGCACATAGCAGGAGGTCAATAAATAATTATTGATTCAATGAATAAATGATGTTTTTCAGATTTTCTTCATTAACATGTCTGTCTTCATTACATGAAGCATGATTATCCCTCAAGCTGCTGCATGCCAAACTAAAACAGTTCTGCGAGCACATAGGTTCTGTGGTGTCTCACTCAAGAAAAATCACTGGTTTTATCATGGCTCTAAAAAATGAGTCAGAAAGGACCCATTTGTCAAGTCACTCAGGCAAGAAACCATCGACAGAGGGTATGTAACACACCTTCATTCACCGCTCCCCTCACCACCACTCCTTGTAGGGTAATGTGGAATGATGTCTCCCTCCACAGAGAGGGAGCCAATTTTTATGAAATACAGTATATATGTATCTGCTACTCTGTGGTGTAGTGCCTAAGGCATCTGACTGCTAACCAGAAGG